AAGGAGGTGGAGAGGCTGTGGCAGTGGTGTGTTTTGAGCAGTGTTTTCTGTTGCCTTACTGACCACCTCTGTGCTGTGCTTGTGTGCCACAGGGTCAACAGCAGCCTGTCTAGCGATGAGCTCTTACTGGAAGACTTGGAGACAGAAGGAGAGAGGCAGCTGAAGAGCCTCCTTCACCACCAGCTTGATACCACTGTCTCCATTGAGCAGTAAGTCCTGATCTGACCCGTGCTGGGGCTGCCAGAGGGGCCAGTGGGCAGTCTGGCCACATTAGGGGCAGCAGCAGTGTCGCCTCACTGGGGCCTCCTCCCCAGGGAGATGTTTGGTGCAGGCTGTTGTCTGCCAAAACAGCTGTGCAAATCCTTCCTCCTTTGCTTGGTCTACTGCCCAGACACTGCAGCAGGAGATAAGCACTCCTTGTCTCCTGAAGCAAACACTGGTAATAACTTATGTTCATCCCCACTAGGCTGGCCTGCATTTGCACCAGTGGGATGTTTGGTGTTACAGTGTCACGAGGTGCCTGCTGCCCGTGTTCCCCAGTTTCTCAGTGCTAAGTTGTTTCTGCTCTTCTATTGCTTTGGGTTACAGGTGCAAGTCAAAGCGAAGATGCTTTGCCCCTGCAGCTTTTTACAAGCCTTTTGGGGAAGAGGCTGCGGGGGCTTTGACTTTGTCACAGTTCCAGGCCCTGCAGGAGAGCAACAAAGAAACTGCCTCTCTCCGGGAACTGGGGCTCTCTGACTCAGAGATTCTGCTCTGGAAGAACCAAGCTTCAACAGGGAAGGTAGGCATGCTCTGTTCTGATGTGAGCGTGGTAAGGTCCCTCTAACCCCATGGCCTATGGCACCCTGGTACAAAATTCATGTCCTTTGTAAGCCTTCTGGTAAAAAATGGCTGCTCCATGTATCTTTTGCCTTTAGGCCAACATGATCCCACATTTTGTCTGTACTAAAAGCTATGGTGGAGAGAAGAGTTGGTCCTTTGGAACACAGCAGGACCTGACTGTATTCCTGCCTCAGCCTTGATGGTCTCAAGCAAATCATTTCACCTGTTTATACCTGTGTAAAGAAGGGTTTCAGGGCTGGAGGAGAAAAAGGAAGAAACACTTCAAAGCACCTGAAACTCTTCCTTTCTGTATTCTGACACATCCCTGGCTCCCATGGCTGGCTTGGGATAACTGTCTGTAGGAAGGGTTTTATACATTCTCCTTGGGAGCTTGCAGATGCTTCAAGGGACTTGAAACAGCCTCGTAAAAATAGCAGTGCAGAGCTGTTGGACCAAGTGTGTGATTGCAATGACGTGCTCCTCCTCGGGTGCGCTTTGCAGCAGAGCAGTGCCAAAGCAGGCTTTTCCCCTTCCCCTGTCTTCACGCTTTTCTTTCATGTTCTAGGGACAAGCGACTTTCAAAGTCATCTTGTGTCCTGTGCACTGGAGTGTCGTGCTCTTAATTTGGTAAACCAGAAGGTGCAAAACAAGATTTGGGCTGACCTTTGGCTTCCCTCTGTTTCTGCTCCCCTTCCAGAGCAATAGCTGTGTGCAGGAGGAAGCCATCTGCAGTAATCATGGGTTTGCCTCTCTTCAGCTGAAGTCATTACTTGCTTTGGTGTTTAAATGCAAACCCAACCCTGGTGTGGTCTGCATTAAAGCTTGGTTTAGAGAGGGATGGTGTTAATTTAAGAATGAAAATTAATGTCAACAGTGCCAGCTGTTGTATTTGGTATGGAATCAGTTCTGAAATGTTTAGAAATAAAGATTAGCATGGAAAACACTACTCTGACAGAAAGAACCAGTAACATTAGGATATATCATCTACAGCTTGTGAAGGAAGAAGGATATTTAGAGAGAAAGCCCAAGTCAGGTTGTGATGTGCAGCTTCGTATGTGGAGGCCCCAACGGAGGAATCAGCTGAGGTAGAGAGGACTTAGATTGCCTGTGGAGCTCTTGGCGAAGTACTGAGTGCAGGCTTATGTTATTTTCAGCTGCTAAGTTGCAGCTTTTTTGAAAACAAAGTACTACAAATGATTTCCTGAAATTGCTTTTACATATAAACAGCCTTTTGTGCCCCAGGGAAGCTGGGAAATGGTGAATGGAAGCCATACAGACATGGGCCCATGCAGTCAGGCGGGAAGGGAGGGGTACCCATGGGAAAGTCTTTGTTAGATTGTGCTCAGTGCAGGGAGAAAGCTTGGTTTCCTGCCTGAGGCAGAGAGATCTGCCACAGTAATTCTTGAACTGAATTTGAGTAAAGAAGATCCATCTACAGCTCCATTAAAAGTGTGTTCTCTGGATACTGATAGAGGTGGATGGAAGAACAGAAACGCCCCTCCAGAAGTTGGGGTATGTCTGTGCTTTGGCAGCACGAGTCTGGTGAATCTTAGCAGTGCTCTCAGCCTGTGCGGAGAGGTTTATTTATACAGGAACGCACACTGGTAGCCAGGTTAGCTGTGAGGTCTGTGCTTCAGTAACTGAGTGGTTTCTGGGAGCTGGTTTGTGCGAAGCTGGTCAGGTGTTTAGTCCTCAACATAAACCTACCCTCAGGTGCCAAATGGCAGCTTGGAGGTCCACTTTTCAGCAAATAAGGTTCTCTCAGTAACACTACGGTCATAGACCAAAAGTTTGTGGAAACTTGAGCTCAGGGATGCCATAGGCGTGGCAAAAGAAATGCGAGAGAGGGCTTTGTGCAGTTACTGTAGGTGGCCTTGGAAAATGGCTGCAGCTTGCAGAGGCTGGGATAGAGGCACCATCGGACAGGCCAGGGAAAGGAAAGCAGCATAGAAAGGGGCTGTTTCTCCACTTTTCTCGAGAACTGAGGCTTGCTGAGTGGTTGCATTTCTGTCCTACCCTTGAAGTAACAGGACCTCTTGATGACCTGCTCTTTGGGGGATGGTTCCTAGTTGCACCCACTCCAGGGCTGGAGGATGTGAAGTTTAACTGCTGGCCATGTCTCTGAAAAGGAGGCACGTGCAATATCTGAGCAAAACTGTGCCTGTCTTCCAGGGCTCTGGGCTGGGAGCGGCCCCGGAGGCCACGCAGGACCGACTTCATGCCATCCAGGAGAAGAGCGCATACTCGCTCTGCCCCAGAGGTTTGCTGGCAGCAAGCAGCTGAGCCGGCGGGAGATGGAGATTGAAAATGCCCTCTTTCAGGGCACGGACCGTCACTCCTTCCTCCGGGCACTCTACCACCAAGGTTTGTGGGCTCAAGGCTGTTCCTGCCTTTGCTCCAGCACAGAGAGCTGGGGTGCGTGGGAGTCCAACACATTTCTGTCTGGCCTTCTGTCCCTGAAGACATGGTTCTGTTTTGGCACTGTGGGGGAGGAGATATTTTCCTCTTTTACACGAGCAGACAGAGAGTGGGCTCTCTGAAGGATTTAATACAGAGGCTTGTAAAGTCTGTCTCTGGAGAGCTTGGATCTGCTTGATGTGCTGCATGTACTGCAGAGCCCAGCTTGGTATGTGGAAGAGCAGCTGGGGTTATACTGTGGTAGAGCCCAGAGGTCCTCACTGAACTGCACTGAGTGACATGGGGTGCCTGTGTGGGGCTAGAGATCGTCCCTTCTCTGATTTAACTGCAGTCTAACAAGGGTGAGAGGGAAGCAAAGGCACAGAGCAGGGAGGAGTAGGAGTGACTTGTTAAAGGCTCCTCCCAGTAGCCGAAGTGGAACTGGAGCCCAGTTGCTGATTTCCAGTACCGTGTCCACAGGATGACAGCACTTCTTTCCCCAGTAGTGTTATCCCTGAGCCTGTGGCTTAATGTTACTTTTCTGGATAGAGAGTCAAGTGTTGTCCAGAAATGGCAAAAAGTGCTCCAGTCTGCTTTAGCTGGAGAACATGCAGGCATGAAGTTCCAGCCCAGACTGATTTTTGTATGTAAGACAGTATTAAATAGAAGACGAGGAGGAACTTCGAAACTCCAACTCCTAAAACACCACTTTGGTCAGTGTTGACGCTGTTCAAGCTATAACGTCCAGCTGACTCAGCGTCCTCTGGCCCCTGCTCCCTCCTTTGGTGTCAGTGTTGTGGCATTTAGCAAAATCAAGAAGCAGCAAGGTTGAGGCTCGTAGGCTGGGAGATGCCTCTCTCACATTTGTCTTCATTGCCATTAAATAAAAGGAGAAATCATTGAAATAAAGGAGATCTCATTGGTGAGTTCATGCATGGACATTCTTTAAACCCAGGAACCTAATCTGATGTCCCTGGAAGCAAAGGTTATATTCCCTGTGGTGCTGTAGAAAGGCAGCATAGCACATCCTGGCCATGCATGCAGGAGGAGGAAGCTGTGTTGAAAGAGTCACTAGAATATGCAGAAATGTGGCTGCAGTAGGACATCTGTGGAAGAAATGAGCTCTGTACAGAGCACTGGTAGAGCTGCTGCTGCTCTCTGCAGGTTCATCCTGAGCTGGGACACCAGCACTTGCTGGCTGCTAGGGCTATTCTTGTTTTAAATAACCTACAGGGCCTGGTTGGCAAATATATGGAGGCTGGGCTGGAACAGTGTCTTCTGTGTTTCGTCCTGCAGTCTGTGCGTTTTCCGGGTTCTTGGTCTTAGTCACATTACCATGTTTCTCTGTTGTGGATTAGATGACACTCAGAAGAAGATAACAGATGAAAAAGACCCCATGGTTCATCTGGAGAGTGTTTACCAAGAGCTGCTGAGCAAGAAGTGGCCTGAAGAAGTCCAGCCTTCCAAGAGTGACCCATGCTTGTGCTCTCCCCTGGCTCCGCAGGGGCCTGTGGCTGAGCAGTCATCACTTCCAGACCAGGAAGAGCAGGCAGAACAGACAAGAAGTCTCGGCCTTCCTGCAACAAGGTCCCACCAGTGTCCTCCAAGGGTTGTGATTATCAAAGACCCTGTAGAGTTTGTCCCGGAAGAGGAGATCTGCAAGAACCGTCTCTCAGAGGAAGAACTCCGGAATATACCCAGGTTCTCGTCCTACCATCCTGGGGAGCCCAACAAGGTACATTGAGATGAACGAGGATTTATTCTTCTTCCTCGCTAGCATGCCCTGAAGCTGCTTCAGCAGGCAGAGGCTCCTTTTTGCCATTGGCTTGGTCCTTGGTTGATCCTCCCAGCCAAGGGAGAGCAGCCTCCACTCACACCTTGGCACTGTGGGAGACCTTTGGCTCTAGTGGGAAGTCACCTGGCCTGGCAAAGAGCTGTACTTCAGACCCTAGCCCTTCCTGGCTCTGGCAGGTCACTAGTCAAGATGCAGTCTCCCTGTTTGGGCCTGACTGAGACCAGCTGTGACTATTCAAACTGTGCTTAACTGGTAGCTGGAGCTTGTTGCGTTTTATAAATAACTGGAGCTATCAGCGCTTGTCACAGGCAAGTACAATGAGGCCTTGAGTCCAGAGCTGCCTTCCTCTGTACACCCACCTGTCTTCCAAACTCCACCATTAGCATGCGGGTGGGAGGACTCTGGGGTGGCAGAGGGGCTGAACTGATTCATACCTTCCAGGTGTACGGACTTGAGACCAGGTTGAAAGGTGTCTGTCTGCATGGCACAGGCCGGCTGATCCTCTGTGTCTCTGGAACAGGTGCTGTATTTGAAGAACCTGGGCCCTCACGTGACGATGAAGGACCTGGTGTCCTTGTTTGCTCGGTTCCAGAAGGAAGACAGCCCACCGATCCAGTTCCGCCTCCTGAGTGGCCGGATGAGGGGTCAGGCTTTCATCACCTTCCCTGGTAAGTTGCTGCTTCATGCCTCTCAGTTATTCCCTGGCCACGAAGGTGCCACATCCTCCTGCAGGGTACTAGGCTGTCACCAAGCCTGCTCTCCGAGGAGGAGGAGGAGGGGAGTTCACTCCCTCATCTTCTTATCACGTCATAATCTTTTCCCTGGGTTGGAAGAGGATTCATCAAAACAGAAGGGATTGCAGTCTGTTACATCCCATATTCATATTTAGCACATTGCTCTGGCTGGAGGATCGCAGCACTGCACTGTGTGGTGGTGCAGGCTTAGGGTCCATGAGACAGGAACATCTGTGTGAGCATCATGTGCGTCTGTGCCAGAACTTGCTGCGTAACCTGTGCCCGTTTTGCCCTTGTGTTGCAGATACTCAGTCGGCCCAGGATGCCATGCTGTTGGTGAACGGGTACAATCTGCAGGGGAAGCCCATGGTGATGGAATTTGGGAAAAGCAAGGGACTTTCACCAGAAGCTGACTCTGCTGTTGTCTGCCCCTCTGCTAGAGAGGACCCCCCTGCCAAGTAAGGGATGGGTAGCCGGGAACCTTGTGGGTTTGCATGGGCCATGGGAACTCCTCAGTCCATAACTGGGACAGTGAAGGACTGTTAGGAGTTAACATGCACGTTCATAAAACTTGAAGTGGGAAAGGGAGATAGCTGGGGACTAGGCTCTTCCTTGAGAGAGGTGGGCACTCTCTTTACACCGTTGGGGTGTACTGTTATTTTCCTCCTGGTCTACGTGTGTGTGCTTTCTCAGCACTTTGTGGCATGGAGGGAGGGAGGAAGCCATGTAAATAAAGGTATTTATTATGGTATTTCCTTAATGTCTGTTTTTTCGCCTTTGTCCTGCACAAATCTTGCAGAACTGAGTGTGCTGCACTCTGCTGATGCAGCACTGTGTCATCAGAGTTCGCTCCCGGCCCCTGTGCTGAGAGCTGGAGTACCTGACTGATGCGGGGACTGGTGAGGCTGCTGCCTTTCCTTTCGTGGCAGCAGATACGTTGCTTTAAGACAAGCGAAAAGGCTGCCCTTTTTCTTCCAGACACTTTGGCTGCACAGGTATCTAATTATGCAGCTTTAAGCTCACAAATATGTCTTGGCTTCTCACTGCTGATCCCCATTAAAGCACTGTGGCATGGAGGATGGTTGCTCTGGTGGGGCACCATTGTGACAGACATCATGATTTATCTGCTGACCTGTTCTAGTGCTTTTTGGGAAAAAGGCAAGCTAACATCATACACTTCCCACATTATCCCAGAGCCCTTGGGAGAGCAACGTCTGAGCTCTTGGTGATGGTGGCTGAGGGAACCCAGGCGTTCCCAGCAGAGCTGAGTTGCAAGCTTCCTTTGTGTACCTAAATACAGCCACGTGGAGAAGAGGAATGTTCCCAAGAGCCCTTGGTTTTTCTCCCTGCTGCCATCTCCTCCTGCAGGCTGGCTGACTCCCTGCACAACCGTCCTGGTAAATGCACTTGCAAAAACGCAAAGACACACTGACTGGGCTAAGGCTGCGCTAGATCTACAAGGTTCTGGTTCAGAGCAAACTGAAAAACTTGAGAAAATGTGCTGTGGTGTTGCCGAGCACCATCCTTGCCCTGGCTTTTCTGGAGCTGTGCGGCCCTGGAGCTCTGTGCCCTGGGCTGCGGCTGCTGCTGGCCACTGCCTGGGCT